ATAAATTTGGGTTTTTCTTTTTTGTGGAACTGGAGAGCCTAGGGCCTCATGCATGCTAGGAGACAGGTGTTCTACACTGATCTATATACCCAGCCCATCTTTTATGTTTGTTTGTTTTTGTGGTGCTCAGAATCCAATCTAGGATTTCATGCATGGTAGGCAAGCACTCTATCGCTGAACTACATTACCTGGGTATTTTTTAAAAGTCCAACCTTCAGAGATTTGGGTCTGCCCTGCAGTGACTGAGAACAGCTCCCCAGAGACTTACATTGTGCTGCCCTGGTTGTAAGCCATGGCCTGATTGGACCATGTTTCGTTTTCAGATTGGCTAGTCTTTCATTGTTCTTTATTTCTTCCAAGAAAAGGTGAGGTCCACTTCCTTACTACATTGTCATCAGGTTCAGACAGGCAACATGCCTCTGCTTTGGATGACTTGAACTGGAATTTTTGTCTTTTGCTATTATTGCTTGGTGTGTGTGTGTGTGTGTGTGTGTGTGTGTGTGTGTGTGTGTGTGTTTTAGGCAGGGTCCCACTGTGTAGCCCTGGTTGGTCTGCAATTCCATATGGAGCTAAGGATGACTGTGAACTTCTGCTCTTCCTCCACTTCCCAAGTGCTGGGAAACAGGCCTGTGCCCATTCTATGTGATGTTGGGGATAGAACCCAAGGCTTCATTCATGCTAGGTGAGCACTCTACCCACTGAGGTAAAATCTCTGCCCCACCCCCCTTATGATTTAAATCCTTGTTTGAAAATTCAAAAACTCAGGCACAGAATTAAGGTCCCTTTCCAGGCTCTTCTAGCAGTAAGGGGCGCGGCCTGGGTGTGGGTCTGGACTCTCTTGACTTGAAGCTGCACTCTGAGCAAGCTTTTGTCCTGTCCCTCCTATCTAGAGTATGACTTCGATTTCCAGTTACTGTGTCTGTGGGATTCTAGAATTTCCTCCAAAGACCTTTGTATGGAGGTGTCAGGTACACAGAGCTGAAGAAATGTGTCTACTCACTGAGCAGTCCTCCAGAGCGACTGGGAGAATTCACCTTCCAACTGCCAAAGGCTACTGACCTCTTGTATGATAATGGAGTGTGTTGGGTGCAGTTAGGAGTCAGGAAAAGTTGGTGATGGGAGTGAGGGGACATGATGGCTCAAAAGCAGGTGATAGATCCATGAATGATGCCACAAGGATGTCTGCCTACTCCTGGTGATGCCCACAAGGGAGTCTGCCTACTCCTGGTGATGCTCCAGTGTCCAGAGTTGGGACTGCAGCCCTCCCCATCCAGCAAGGAGCCAGGTCACACAGGTAACCCTTACAAGCTGTGGGATCAGCCGCAGTAGAAATGACCCCTAGTATGCTTTATAACATTGAGCAAATAGTTTTCCTCTCTGGACCTCGACTTGCACTTCTATGTGATGAAGAGATGTAGCTCCCTGGAACAGGGGAGAGTTTATTATGAGATAATTCCTAGGTAAAGTATGGTAAAGTTATTAGTGGTGAACCAATGTTGTTCTTATTATATATTTATACATATAATATTAACAGTGGGGAAACTGAAAGAGTTCAGAACTATTTTTTCATCTTAAAAAATAAATCTAAAATTAATTTCAATGCCAGGCGTGGTGACATACACCTTTAATCCCAGCACTTGGGAGGCAGAGGCAGGTGGATCTCTGTGAGTTTGAGGCCAGCCTGGTCTACATAGTGAGTTCCAGGCCAGCTAGGGCTACAGGGAGACCCTGTCTCAAAAGAAAAAGAATCTAAAATTAATTTCAAAATGAAATTTATCTATTTACTTAAAACATGGTTGTTAGCTGCCAAGTGGGTGCTGAGAACTGAACCCAGGTCCTCTGCAAGAATAACCAGTGCTCTTAACCATGAAATTTATTTTTAATAGATGATTAGGTGAGTTTTAAATTTGACTCATGTATTTACTCAACAAAAATTTGTTTGGAGACCAGTGAGATGATTTAGCAGGTTAAGGCACTCGATACCAAGTGTGACGACCTAAGTTCAATCTCTGGGATCCACATAGTAAAAGAAGAGAACCAACTCTCACAGGTTGTCCTCTGACCACCACACATGTTCATGCGTGCACACACACACACACACACAGAGTAAAGAAAATTGGGTATTAATTAGTAACTAAAAGTTACAGTCCCACTTCTGTGGTAATTTGTGGGAATATTTCTGAGGCAGCATAGAGAGGGAAAATTTGAGGGACAATAAGGGGAAAAAGAAACCCCTTCCCTGAATTCCAGTTGAAACAAGAATTTCAGCACAATTAACAGTTGCTTAAGGCTCCCCCCTTCCCAGCCGTAAGTCTACAATTTTCAGTTTTATGAAACTCCACTTACTGGAAAGCCCATGTACTAAGTAAGCCCCTCAGGCCACGCCTGTGGCTGCTGGTTTTAGCTCACCAGGCTGTCATCCCAGCCAAGGCATCTCTGGGCCAGCCTGTCATCTAATGATGGAAGCAGGAAACAGGTTCGGGAGGAATGGGCTTCCCAGAAACCCTTTGAACAGTGGAATCCCCAGAGCTGCCAAGATCTTACCCCGTTCCCACTCGGACCCTGGAATGAACCGGTTAGAAAGGACGAAGCCTGGCTTGGCCCAAGTGAACGGTCCTAAATAGCTGGGGCCCTCCTTGGGATGGCGGCTGGGCCACTGTCTCCTCAATGATATTTCTGCTTCTGTGTTTTTAAAAAGTAACTTCAGCCAGGGTCAACCGAAGAAAACCTCGGCTGGCAGGTGGTGCCACCCGCTCCCTCCCCAGCTGAGTTCTTCCTCTGTAGGGGCAGCCTCGGAACTCCCCAAGTCCTTAGCAAGCCCGAGAGCATTTAATAAAATGACCATAATAACAAGTTTGCGATTCATAACGCCGATTCGGGGCAGCGTAAACCTGGCAGGCGGCGTTATATTCCGTCGAGAAGCCCTGAGAATGAAAATAGTGCACGCCTGGGTTCCTGAAGCTCCCTGGGAGATGCAGCTCGCAGCCAGGGTCCGGCCCGGCGCGCAGCCCCGCCCCCGGCGCGCAGCCCCGCCCCCAGAGCGAGTAGTTCCGCCTTGCCTGACGCCCTAGTCCCGCCCCTTCCGCTAGCAGCCCCTCCCTCCCCCTCGTTGGTCCCGCCCCTCCCTCATGCCCCATTCTCCCGCGCTCCTCCACTTGCGCTCGGCTCCGCCCCTTTCGCATTAAGCCCCGCCCCACTCAAGCTCGTTTCTACCCCATCTCCGTTTTATTTTTTTAATTTTTTTTCAGTTTCT